TGTGCTGGTTGCTAAGTCTTTGATTGGTCTCGTCATGCCGCTTGCAATTTTGCGAATTGAAGACTCAGGATCTGGGCTTCCAAAAAAGAGTTTGAATCATGACAAGTTTGCGATGCTGTAGTTTGTTAAGTAAGGCAGGTCGAGTTGCTCATTGGTCGTGAACATACCTTTCGTTTTCCCTTCTCTATTGTTGCTAGTTTTGAAGTACCTACAAGATCACAAATAACGATTGATTACTTGGTACAGTAACGTACGGACGACGACGGCACATGCTTTTCAAGCACTAAGTAAAAAGTGTATTTTGTCAGTACCAGGCTGATCAGGAAGCAGGCCCTTGGTAACTACGTGCAAACAAATACAAATATCAAGATAAAATAGAAGGGACACTTGCGCATCTAGATCAATTAATTGCATACTGTACATCAACCAGCACTATGCTTTGTTCCAACAAACGTAATCGGCTACTCTGTCGGATTGAATGACGCAGTAGCAATCCTGCCATTAAGCAAAATACGTTGGCATGCACACCCAACAGTGCTTCGACTCGCAGTCCAAGATTGAGATAACGGCGATTGCCGAGTTTATCCATTCAATCGACGCTGACTTAGCCGCTGCCTCGGACACACAGTGGCGTGAAGCTAGTCAAATGAACTGTAGCCCACATTTGTCACCGGACAAGCCCGTCGCCGTACGCTCTGATGCTCGAGTATCATATTCGACAGAACTACAGCCTCGCAAGAGAAATGAAGCTCTAGCGCTCCGGACCCAAGTGAAAGAACTGAAGGCTCGACTCGCCCAGTTGAAGAGAAAACGTCAAGCACACCTCGAGAATGCATTGGCTCTCTCTTCAGGAACTCACCGGGAAGGTACGATTCGTTGGCGCAGCATAGCGGTCATGGCTTGTGAAGTTCGACAACTCGCCGAACGTTCAAACCGTGAGCTGAAGACAATCGTGGAAAGTCAAGACAAAGTTCGAGCTTCAATTCTGCGTCTACTCGCCAAGACGAACGCTATCTGCGTACGTTTACGACGAATGAAATGTTTTATAAGGTTACCGAGATCTAACCGTATCTTCGATTTGTATTCGTGCAGGAAGTGGACATGCATTTCGTCCGCAAAGCACAACCTCGCGTCGACGTTCCGCTCTTTTTGCCCGACTTCGTTGACACGATTAAGCAGCGGCTATCGAGCAGGCTAAAAAGTCTCCACGTCAAACTGATGTTTCCTCAAGCGGATTCGTCCACAGTGGTCTCCTATCGTTACCAAACTGTGCCTTTTGGCCATCTTGGGAATCGTGTCGATATATCATCGACAACTCCAATGTCGTGTTCGGTTCAAGAGACAGGGGACTTACTATGGAGTTTCACCACTGCGAACAGTATGAAAAGCGCCAGCTCTGTCGACTATGTAAGTGTTTTTTGGGGGCACATGATGCATTGTAATGGGATACACTTTCTCATTCGGTTTTGTAGATACAGGTTGCCAAAAAGACCGCAGGGCCTCTCGATATGACCTGCGTATCATCACTACGCGAAGGCCAACAGCTACTTCACACAATTAGCGTGTTTCGTCGATTTAACGAAGGATACCAGATCGTTCTTATGGGAGCTGCAATGTGGTTTCTTCCCGGTGCCGGTCTCGTGTTGCAAGACTACAACTGGACTGTCATCTCGCCGACTCAAACATACCCAGAGTACAGAAGTGTGGTCCGACACTGCTACAACTTGGAAGAGACTATCGTCTCACCAGCCACAACTCAAACTCAGAAGACGATCCTCGATTTAGTCGGTAACCGGATGCGAATCATCACCCTGGAGATGCAAGATACGCTACTTAGTGAGGGAGATTCTTCGTTCACATCCTGACACTGAAAATGGCAAGGTGCTGCGAGATAAGTCGCAAACTGAGAATCGTACCAGAGCGGGTCAAAAATGACACCGTAACCATGGACGGCAATCGAAAGGTTACTGCAGTGGTAATGGGAAGGGGGCGAATTACCAATCTGCTTGATCTGTTGTCCGAGTTTGCCGGAGGATTGTCTTAATTCTCGGACAATAAAACATAATTTTATTGTTCTCTACGCATGTGCGCAGCATCGATAATAGCCCCCTTCACATACCACAAGTGCATATAGATACATAACTTATACGGCGACTTTTAGTTGCGCAAGAGCGCCGTCAATTAAGGCAATATAGTCCGAATATTAAATTTTTCTTGCTTTAATCACAAAAAAAATCTCACTCACTACTCCAACCATCTCAAACAAACCGCTGTATTGTCAACTAGTCATCGTAAAGCAATATATTGTGTTCTCAGTCGGCCACATGGTCCAGTGGAGCTTAAAGCAGCGTAACCGCCGTATCTCAACCACTAGCAAGAACAAACGCCACATTCTCCAAGCACGACAGCAAGGAGCTTTTGTCCTCTTAGTCCCCTTGAGGATCCAAAAGAATGGATGTGAGTTGTTTAAACGAAGCTGATCAAACACGAGAGTCACAGTGACGCTCATGTTCACACTACGAAGTTATCGCTACTTGAACCAGAATATCGCTCGAGATTCGATTTTTGCTCCAAACACAAAAACTCTTGTTTTAGATCTTTCTTTTTTTAAAGAGAAAATGCTTCACAGACAAAACTGAGCAACACATTTTCAGCGTTTTCAATTTGAGTATGCCTTATTTCGATTGGCTGCGTGTCCTTCAAGTGATTGAGCTGCTGCTGGATGAAGAGGAAGTAATGCTCCACTACCGTTAACGCTGTCTCCATCCTTCACACAAGTTCAATATTTAGGAAGCCAGATATCGTCGTGTATCCAGATATTACGGATTATACTGTTGCATTCCGGCAACACCATGTCAGAAATGTTGCTAATGTGCACCACCGCAGTGTTGTACTAATTAGTGTCGTACGGTACGGGCCCGTACCTGATACTATACTGTAGTTTACGCTGATTCGAAGAATTCATAATTGATGGATCCTGGTTGTTTACACTGAATAGAGCACCACGTAATAGATGGTGAGAAACTGTTTGGACCGGACACGGACTGTTACTCACGGTACCATTTCCACTTAATTGGGGCAAAGCCCCCCTATAATGTAACGTTCTCTTATTTAGAGAGACAACTACTTTTTTTACAGGAGTATTTACGAAGTATTAGGAAGAGGGCTAGGGTAGATAATTACAATCAAACCGACTAGGGACCAGTTTTGGCGAAAAATACTTGTGTATAAGAACCGTTGATGCGAACTAAC